GGCCTGGAGGGAGCTGCAAGAAGCCAACATCGTCGATTGTACAACGGTGTTTGAAGGAGTTTGAAGTTCTCGGATGTTTGGTTTCCCGACACTCCAAGATGGCTCAAGAAGCTTACAAGACCGCCCCAAGGCAGCTTGAGATGCCTCCACGAACGCCCCAAGAGGTGCAGAAGCCGCCTCCAAGAGGCCCCCGGAGAGGTTCCCAACGACACCGCAACACATATACAAGAAGACACAGACCCACAACCCAGACACGGTGGCGAGATGGGCCGAAGGCCACTAGGATCCGCCGCCCCCTGTTGGCTTGACACAAGGGAACCCGGCAAGCTGAACCTTTTCGCTTTTGGTTTGGGTCTTTTTCCAAAAGAACTCCCCCTGGGGCTTCGGCCCGTCCCGCCGGCCACCCGGAAAAGTGCGCAAAAGGTGGCCGCAAAGGGTTGTTCGCCTCCAGACGGCTCCAAGATGGCCTCCAAGATGGCCACCATGGCCCAAGATGGCCTCCAAGTTCGCCCAAGATGGTCCAAGATGGCCTCGAAGACGACCCACGAGAGCCAAGGATGCCTCCAAGTCCGCATAAGAAACACCGAAGACGGCCCAAGACAGCCCAAGAGGCCTCCAAGAGGCCTCCACGACGGCCCACGAGGCCTCGAAGAGGACCTCCAGCATCCTCAAGGACGGCCCGAAGAGGTTTAAATTATTGATGTGCCTTAGGTTTTCCAAGGATGTCAGCTTCTGCTCTATTTCGGCCTTCCGACGGCCCACGGCTGCCCAAGAGGCCATCAAGATCGCCCTCAGAGTGCCCGAGAAGCCTCCACGACGGCCACAGGACGGCTCAAGAGGCGCCGCGCCTCGGCATCTTGCTCTGGACATGTGCGATCTCCAGCGCTGGACACGCACTGCGAGGCGGGGGCTTCTCCACGACCATGCCCTTGGGGATCGAACGTCGTGAACCTCGGCAGGCGCTGGATATCGCCTGCCTGCAGAGGTCATCGAATGCCGATTCCCACAGCCGATGCTTCTGGCCGACCACCTCGGAGTCTCGACCGGCGGAGGCGGGCCCTGATCGTGGCGTCGTTGTCGCTCCCTACTCCTCCGCCGACGTCGAGCGGATCCCTGTCCCTGAGACCGACCGCTTGACACACACACACACACACACACACACATACACACACACACACACTCACTCACACACACACACGTCTCCCCATCCCCCCCACCCGCCATCGCCGTTCAATCCGACGCGCCTCCGACCCGACACCGCCGCCGCGCCGAGGGCGAGGGCGAGGGCGAGGGCGAGAGCATCGTCGTCGTCGTCGTCGTCGTCGGCGTCGTCGGCGTCGTCGTGCGGTGCGTGCGTGCGGGGGCGCGTGCCTACGCAACCGAGGCCGCGCGGCGGGGCGTCCGGGCGCAGGGCACTCGTCGACCCCGCCCTGGGTGCCCTCCGTCCGCTTCGCGCCGTCGCTCGCCCAGCCTGTTTTGGGGGGCGGGGGGGGGCGCCCAGAAGCGCCTCGGGCGTCATCGAATGGTGCACAGAAGCGCATTGATCCTCTTCCTCCTCCTCCTCCTCCTCCTCTTCCTCCTCCTCTTCCTCCTCCTCCTCTTCTTCCTCCTCCTTCCCCCATTCCCCCCATTTCCCTCCTCGCCTCCTCCTCCCCCCTCCCTCCTCCTCTTCCTCCTTCTCCTCCTCCTCCTCCTCCTCCGCCTCTCTTTCCTTTTCCTCCTCTCCTCCTCCACCTCCTCCTCTCCTCATCCTCATCCTTTTTCACCTCCTCCTCTCCTCGTCCCGTCCCTCGTCCTCGTCTCCTCCTCCTTCTCCTCCTCCTCCTCTTCCTCCTCCTTTCTCCTCCTGCTCTTCCTCTCCTCCTCCCCCGTCCTCCTCCCATTCTCCTCCTCCTCTCCTCCTCCTCCCTCCTCCTCCTCTCTCCTCTTCCTCCGTTTCCTCCTCCTCCGTTTCCTCCCTCCTCCTCCTTCCTCCTCTCCTCCTCCTCCTCCCCCTCCTCCTCTTCCTTCTCCTCCTCCTCCTCCTCCTCTTCCTTCTCCTCCTCCTCATCCTCCTGCTCCTCCCATTATCTTTCCTCCACCTCCTCCTCCTCCTCCACCTTCAAGGAGGGGGGGCAGCGAGGGCCCCTGATAAGGCCATCTAAGGCCCCAAAGGGAGCCGCGAGGCCCGAGACATGCACCGTTCTCCCCTCCCTTCCCCTCCCCCACATTTTTATCGCGGAGGAGTGGGGTAACTGTTCTGCATATTCGGGAATGTAGCTGTCCTGGAGAGGGAACGCCGTAATGATGCCGTTCTCTGTTTCTCCCTCTCTCTCTCTCTTTCTCTCTCTCTCTCTCTATCTCTCGTTCTTTCTCTCGCTCTCTCTCTCTCTCTCTTTCTCGCTCGTTCTCTCTCGTTCTCTCTCTTTCTCTTTCTCGTTTTTTTTTTTTTTCTCTCTCTCTCTCTCTATCTCCGCGGCCAGCTCCAATTGACGGGGCCGCCAAACAGGTGCCTGGAATGGAAGGTTTGTCCCAGGGACAATGTTGGGGCCCAGGGACCGTTTTCACCACAGTCTGCGGAAAGCGAAAGAGAGGTCAGCGGCCCCCAGCCTCAAAGGGTCGCTGGGCACACCCCCGTTGGACAAGGGTGTCCCTGTCACCTTGGCGGGGGCTCCGAAGGGCCAAGGCAATTGGAAACCAGACAAAACTGGTTAACGAAATAAGTTGTTAGACCCCTCCGCAATACGTGGTACTTTTCCCCGCCGCCGTATTGAAGGAGTGGGGCCCCGCCAGTAGAGGGAACTAATTATTTGTTCCGAACCTTGTGCGAAGAATTTGCCAATCAAAATAGCAATCCCAGTGCAAGCAAGCATGCGCAGACATCCTCCGCCTGCTGCTTAGCCCAGGGGGCGTCAATCCTTGGGAGAAAATCACTCAACATAATCTAGCCCGCCTAACAATCGACGAAACGCAATCTCCGCCGCGACGACGACGACACTTGGGATTACGACTTCAATTACAAATACAACTAAGACCACATCGGCGGCGACGATTACGACTACAATCGCGACTACGATCACGACTCCACTCATGATTAGAACCACGACTACAACCAGCCCCTGATCCGTGTAGGGTTGCCCACATAGCAGTGTCCCCTGTGTCTAGACAAACTCCCAGCAGAACCCAGCCCGCCCCAGAAAAAAAAAATACTCTCCGCCGCGGCGACGACAACGACGAGGACGACAGCGAGGACGACGAGGACCAAGACTGCTACGTGTGCTTTAGTAGTAGTAGTAGTAGCAGCAGCAGCAGCAGCAGTAGTAGTAGTACTACTAGTAGTAGTAGTAGTAGTAGTAGTAGTGGTGGTGGTGGTAGTAGTAGTAGTAGCAGTAGTAGTAGTAGTAATAGTAGTAGTAGTAGTAGTAGTCGTAGTAGTAGTAGTAGTAGTAGTAGTATTAGTAGTAGTAGTAGTCGTAGTCGTGGTAGTCGTAGTAGTAGTAGTAGTATTAGTAGTAGTAGTAGTAGTAGCAGCAGCAGTAGTAGTAGTAGTAGAAGTAGCCGTAGTAGTATTGGTAGTAGTAATGGTAGTAGTAGTAGTAGTAATAATAGTAGTAGTGGTAGTAGTAGCAGTAATCGTAGTAGTAGTAGTAGTAGAAGTAGCCACTACTACGACTACCGCTACTACTACGACGACGACTACTACTACTACTACTGCGACTGCTGCTACTACTAGTTCCATTCGTACTAGAACTAGTAATAGTGATAGTCGCAACAGTAGTAGTAGTAGTAATAATAGTAGTAGTAGTACGAATAGTAGTAGTAGTAGTAGTAGTAGTGGAAAATCTAGCAGTCGTGAAAGGCGTAGTAGTAGTAGTAGTAGTAGTAGTAGTGGTGGTGGTGGTAGTAGTAGTAGTAGTAGCAGTAGTAGTAGTAGTAGTAATAGTAGTAGTAGTAGTAGTCGTAGTAGTAGTAGTAGTAGTAGTAGTAGTAGTCGTAGTAGTGGTAGTCGTAGTAGTAGTAGTAGTAGTAGTAGTAGTAGTAGTATTAGTAGTAGTAGTAGCAGCAACAGCAGTGTAGTAGTAGTAGTAGTAGTAGTAGTCGTAGTAGTAGTAGTAGTAGTAGTAGTAGTAGTAGTAGTAGTAGTAGTAGTAGTAGTAGTAGTAGTAGTAGTAGTAGTAGTAGTAGTAGTAGTAGTAGTAGTAGTAGTAGTAGTAGTAGTAGTAGTAGTAGTAGTAGTAGTAGTAGTAGTAGTAGTAGTAGTAGTAGTAGTAGTAGTAGTAGTAGTAGTAGTCGAAACCAATTGCCCTAGCCAGCTCAACCTGCCAACCCGTCCAACCAGCCAGCCAGCCCACCCAGCCACCCCGCCACCTAGCCAACCCGTCAGCCAACCAGCCCAGCCGCCCACCCCGTCATCCCGCCAACCAGCCGATCCCCTCCGCCTGCTCTCCGTGCCCAACCAGCCACCCTGCCAACCCGCTCTCCCCCGCCGCCTGCCCTCCGTCACCGCCGAGAAGGGGGGGGGAAGTGTTTCTTGCCAGCGAAAGCCAGAAAACTAGCCTTCCCGGGGACCGGCGGGACAGCGGGGAGGGGGCAAATCGCACCGTACGATGCAGGACCAGGAATGGCGGGGGGGGGGTGCCCGGCACGGTTTGGGGCCTCAAGTGTGCAACTGTCGTCATTTGTCAACGTCCACCGCGCCCTCTTTCTCAATGGGAAGGCTCCCATCCTTGAAACTGTCGCCAATTTTGAAGCCGCGCGCGTGGCTTCTTAGAGAGCCGCCAAGAGGCCCCAGGAGGTCTCAGGAGGCATCAGGAAGCTCCAGGAGGCTTCAGGACGTCCCCAGAGGCCGTGGGAATCCTAAGGAGGCTCCAGGACGCTCCAGGAGGTCCCAGGATGCCCCGCGAGGTCCCACAAGGCCCCAGGAGGTCCCATCACGCTCCGGGCGTATCCTGAACGACCCAAAAGTTCCAGAACGCTGCGGACGCCCCTGGAGGGCTGAGGATACCCTAAGAGAACCCAGGAGGTTTCAAGAGGCCGCAGGAAGTCCCCAGAGGTTGCTATCCCAGGAGGCCCCCGGGATTACCAGAGGCTCCATGAGGTCCCATGGTCCATCACGCCCGAAGTAGGGAGGGGGAGGCGGAGGAGGGTGCGGACGTGGAGGAGGAGGAGGAGGAGGACAAGGAAAAGGAGGAGGAGAACGAGGAGAAGGATGAGGAGGAGGACGAGCATGATGAGGAAAGGATGAGCAGGGTGACAGCGTGACGCCCCAGCAAGTACACTTGGTCCAATTGGTTTCTACCCCCGTGAGGGGCGCCACATGGCAGTAGTAGTCGTAGTAGTAGTAGTAGTAGTAGTAGTAGTAGTAGTAGTAGTAGTAGTGGTGGTGGCACTCGTGGTAGTAATTTAATTACTCGTTGTAGCTGCCGAACAAATAGTGGAAGCCGTGGAAATAGTAGCAGTAGTAAAAATATGCATGAGAGTAGCAGTGTCAGTAGTACTAGTAGTAGTAGTAGTAGTAGTAGTAGTAGTAGTAGTAGTAGTAGTAGTAGTAGTAGTAGTAGTAGTAGTCGTAGTAGTAGTAGTGGTAGTAGAAGTAGTAGTAGAAGTAGTAATAGTAGTAGTAGTAGTAGTAGTAGTAGTAGTAGTAGTAGTCGCAGTAAATGGCAGTAGTAGTAGTAGTAGTAGTCGTAGTAGAAGTAGTAGTAGCAGCAGTAGTAGTAGTAGTAGTGGTAGTAGTAGTAGTAGTAGCAGTGGCAGTAGTAGTAGTAGTAGTAGTAGTCGTAGTAGTAGTAGTAGTAGTAGTAGTAGTAGTAGTAGTAGTAGTAGTAGTAACAGTAGTAGTAATAGTAATAGTCATATTCGCAGTAGTCGTCATAGTCGCAGTAGAATCAGTAACGGCAGCAATCGCATTCGTGTTGTAGCAGTAGTACTACCAGTAGTTGTAGTAGTAGGACTAGAAAATGATAGCAGAAGTAGTGGTATGAGTCTCTGGACAATAAGAGTGATCGAACTTGTAGTTGAAATAGTAATAGCAGTAGCAATCGCAGTGACAATTGTAGCCGTAGCAGTAGTCGTAGTCGCGACCGTGATCGTAGTACTGGCACTACTGGGAGTAGTCGTCGTAGCCACAGTCGTTGCCGCAATCGCAAACGCGGTGGTAGTATTTGAAGTAGTAGCAGCAGTCGCACTAATACTAGTCTTTGTAGCAATGTGAGTAGTGCGAAAAGTAATTACAACAAGGGGAGCGTCAGTAGAAAAAGTAAAAGTAATAATGGTAGTACGGGTAGCAGTAGTACTAGAAACAGTAGCTGTAGTAGCACACGTAGTAGAAACACCCATATTATCACCAGTCGTACTAACTTATGAACTTTAACTGTAGTAATGGTAAGCAGTAGTATTGAGGAGACGAAGTAACTAGTGAGTCGTGTTCCTAAGTGGCCGCGGTAGCAATAAGAATTCTAGTTGCAGGAACACTAGTAGTTGAAGTAGTAATAGTAGTAGAAGTAGTAGTCGTAGCAATTCTAATAACAAGATGGGTCGTCGTAGTTGCAGCAGTAATGATAGACATAGTAGTCGTAGTAGTAGTAGTCGTAGTAGTAGTAGTAGTAGTAGTAGTAGTAGTAAAAGTAAAAGTAGTAAAGGTAATAGTCGTCGTTGTCGTCGTAATATCAATAGATGTAGCCTTAGCAGTCGCAGTCACACGAATCGTAGTAACAGTGGTAGTAAAAATTGCTCTTTGCGCCCAAAAGAGGTGCGCAAGGTGCCTACATGAATCCTCATGCAGTCGGACCTCGAAGCATGAACAGCCGCACTGACCCGTCCCAGGCATCACGTCGAGGTGCTCCGAGATGCCACCCCGAGACACGGCCACCAGCGACACCCCCACATGGCCGCCGGCGTCAAGCAGTGGAGACCCCGCTGCCCAAGGACTTGAGTTCCCGCGCCCCCCACGTCGGGGGACCCCTTCCAGTAACCCTATTGGGCCTCTCAGACGTCGTACGGCTGGCCCGCACCTGCTGCGGCTGGCCAACCACTGGGCAGGAGTCTCTCCCACAGCCCCGTCGAGCTGTGGAGACTGTCGGGCTGCCGAACCGCCTGTTTTCCTGGGACGCCACGAGTGCACCCAGCGGCACAGGTGCCAGGTAGTACGAGTCATAGAAATAGTAAAAGTAGTAGTACTACTACCACTACTACAAGTACTACGACCCCTACTTTAACTACTGCGAAAATTACTAGTACTACGACGACGACGACGACGACGGCGACGACGACTACTACTATTACTACAACCACTACTACAACTACTACGACTACTACTACTACTACTACTACTACTACTACTACTACTACTACTACTACTACTACGACTACGACTACTACTACCACTACTACTACTACTACTACTACTACTACTATTACTACGACTACTACTACTACTACTACGACTACTACTACTACTACTCCTTGCAGTCGAACTACTACGCCTACTACGATCACTACTACTACTGCTACTACTACTACTACTACTACGACTACTACTACTACTCCTTGCAGTCGAACTACTACGCCTACTACGATCACTACTACTACTGCTACTACGACGACGACGACGACGACTACTATTACTACTACTACTACGACGCTTACATCTACTACTACTACCACCATTACTACTAACACCAATACTACTACTACTACTACTACTACTACTACTACTACTACTACTACTACTACTACGCCCACTACCACTACCACCACCACTAACACTACCACCACTACCACTAGAAGTAGTGGTAGTGGTGGTAGTAGTCGCAGTAGTAGTAGGAGTCGTAGTAGAAGTAATAGTAGCAATGCCACTTACAGTACCAGTACGCGAACTAATAGTAGTGTTGTTGGCGGTGGTAGTGGTCGTAGAAGTAGTAGTAGCAATCGTAAGAATAACAATCGCCGTAGCAGTAGTAGTAGTAGTAGTAGTAGCAGGAGCAGTAGTAGTAGTAGTAGTAAAAGTGGTGGTGTCGTAGTCGTAATCGTACTAGTAGTTGTTGTCGTAGTCGTCACAGTAGACGCAGTAGTTGCAATTGTTGTAGTAGAGTAGTAGTCGTAGTAGAAGCAGTGATAGTAGTAGTACTAGCAATAGTAATAGGAGTAGTAGTAGTAGTAGTAGTTGAATACTCGTAGTCGTAGCAGTAGTAGTAGCAGCAGCAGCAGCAGCAGCAGTAGTAGTAGTAGTAGTAGTAGTAGTGATAGTAGTAGTAGTAGTAGTAGTAGTGGTAGTAGTAGTAGTAGCATTAGTATTAGTACTAGTACTACTACTACTGCTACTACTACTACTACTACTAGCAGTAGTAGTAGTAGTTGTTGTTGTTGTTCCAGTAGTCGTAGTAGTAGAAGTAGTAGTCGCCGTACAAGTTGTAGTAGTAGTAGTAGTAGCAGCAGCAGTAGTATTAGTAGTAGTAGCATAAGCTAGTAGTAGTAGTAATAGTAGTAGTAGCCGTTTTAGTTTTCGTCGTCGTCACTACTCTCCTCCTCCTCGTCCTTCTTCTCTCCTCCTCCTTCTCCTCCTCCTCCTCCTTCCTCTCCTCAGGAGTAACCGTACTTGTAATAGTACGAGTCATATGAATAAGCAGTAACAGCGCGTATGCTTCCTCGTGTCATTCCTAAGGAGGCCGAACAAGCAGGAGAAGGAGGGGGAGAGAGGGAAGGAGGAGGAGGTTTCAGGACCAGTACAACTCATCGCCGAGTGAAAAGGGGGGATCAAAACTAAACACCTCCTGGGATTACTGCTCCTCCACGGACCTCTCCTTGGGTGCGGTCTGACCAACATTTCGAATCGAATCCAGCGGTGCCGACGAGGGCCTCCCAGGAGGCCCTAAAGGCCAGAACGGGGCCAGGGTAGCGTTATCGGTACCTGTTCCCCCGTTGAGACAAGGGGTGCGCCTCAGCCAGCCTGTGAGGGGAGGGGGGGGCGCCGGCTGCCCAGGAGCGCGCGAGCCGATCGTGGCAGCGACCCTCCCTCGAGCGCGCCGCCTCAGGAGCTCCAGCCAGCAGGCGGTGCGCGACCCGTCGACACCGCATCGGGGAAGTAAGTAAGACGAAGCCATGACGAGGACAAAGCCGGGTGAGGATGAGTAAACCGAGAAGATCTGAAATCTGGCGGCTCATGACACGCGAGCGTTCGACTTTGCAAGTTTCTGGGGCGAGTTCGTGAATTGTATGACTTTCCAATTGCCTTTGCCAGAAATTGCATGTCTCAGAGAGGTGTGTCTCATTGCATGTTTTCCATCGCCGTCTCCACTTGTGGGGCGCGTGCGACCTCCGCGCGCGATCGGACCTGCGCTGCACTGGAAAATGCCTCGGGCGCCGCGGCCTTCTCAGAGCGCTCTGAGAGCGTTCCAGAACGCTCCGGGAACGCTCTGGAACGGATTTGTCCTCGTCCTAGCCAGGCCCGGCAGGGTCGAATCGGAACGTGCGTCGGATCGGGCCGCATCGGCACAGGGCCCAGATCGAACCGTATCGGCCGCGCCAGGATGCACGACAACGCCCGTGCAAGCACCAGGCCGCATCGGATCGCAGGGGTGCCGGGATCGAATCGGATCGAGGCCAGATCGAGTGGGAACGGCATGAACCCTGCGAGGAGACCCGTAAGAGGCCCATGATACTCTTCTCGGCGATGTGTCGGCGATACGGCTCTATCCTCCGACCCCATCCGATCGTACGAAACTCGGAGGCCTAGAGTTCGAGAGGGCAGGGGAAGGCGGAAGAGGGGGGCTCGATTTGGGAAGAGGAGGCACGATGAGGGTGGAGAGCCCACATTGCCCCCGCTCACTGCAGCCCCTGAAGTGCGGGCCCCAGGAGTATACACCACCACGTCGATTATTCCTCCCTCCTCTACCCTCTTCTTCCTCGCCTCTTCCCTGGGAGATCTGGCAGATCCTAGAAGGCGACAATATCACTGCGTCTTGCCCATCTGACGTGTGCACCGAGCACGGGCCCAACGAGGGTGTCCTGGCCAAGGCGGTCAGGATGCCCGAGCAAGTGCGTGCGGCAGGCTCCGGGCGCGACGGCATTGGCACAGCACAAACCGAAGACTGGGCCAGAACCGCTACAGAGGCCGAGGCACAGGTCAGGGACATCCCAGATGGGGCGCGGCGCAGCGGCAACGGCACACCGAGCTGACCCGACCGAGCCGACTGCGACGCAGCCGCCTGCGACGCGGCCGAGCCGACCGAACCGCGGACGCCCGGACACCCTCGTGTCAGGTGTCGGGTGCCCGTTGCCAAGGGGGGGCAATATGCCCGGGCGCCACGGAGCGTGCACCTTCTGTGAACCTCTTGGGTCCGGGGGGGGGGACAGCTTTGGGGCGTTGCGGGCCCTTTAGAACCACTCTCCTGCGATCCTCGATGCCGCCACGTGTATTGCCCCTCGCTGTGCTCCGCCCGCTCCTGGGGCCCCCTGACGTGTGGGCTGTCGTGACCGCAGATCCCCATCAGCGCGCTAGCGTTGCAGAACAGGCAGCTGATGTGTGCAAGCACCGAACGAGCATCACGCACAGTTTGAAAGACCACGCGCGTGTCATTGATAATCGTTCTCCTCCCCGACCCTCGTTATCACGGCTGGGTCCGCCACGAAATACTGGCCCAGACGCACCCAGCATCGGCCCATGGCCTTCCCCCTGGAGCGAATTCCGACCAGGGCTGCCAGCATGAGCTGGCCGTCGCGGTGAGGCCACAACCAGGAGGCCCAAGGAAAAGAGCAGTCCGAAACATCAGCACCTCCCTCCTGCTCACCATGAGGCAGTCCGTGGGACCCAGGCACTTGGCCCCCCATCCTGGGGTCATTTTTTCTGGCAACGTGTGAATTGTGAACGCTCCCAGGGCCCGAAAGGACCCCCCCAACAGATGCGACACAAACAGAACACAGTCTAAAGCATTGCCCATACATCGACCCCTTCTCGGGGACCCGATGATCGATCCACATCGATCTGAGACCACCATGGAACCCGAATGTTGCTCCTGCAGGCCGAACAAAACGACGACTAAGCATTGGATTGCCCAGCCGCCAGGTCTGGGGCCCCATATCCTAAAAAATCGCTCCCCCCTGCCGTGGGGCTCGCCAGAGGAAACCAGGCGTAACAACGACAAAGGCCCAGGAGGCCTCGAAGGTCCCCTCAAAAGATGTCAGAAACCTCGCACTTCGAATCTTCATCCTCGATCCTTCGACAGTTGGAGTCCCCCGACAACCAGGATGGCCGCACTCCAGCACCGCGCGAACGATGTCCTGCGCCGCGCCGCGCGAAAGAACGACAGGCTGGGGGGCTCGAAGTATACGCCGAGCCGCCATGTCGGCCAAGAAGCTCGCTGCCTGGGCGCCCCAGCCTCCCAGACTGTGGGACGCTGGAGCATCTATACACCGAATTCCTTCGCCGAGTTCCCTAGCTGACTACCTACCAGACCACCCCAACCCAACACGAAGACCCGAATTTCGGGTTGGGGGGGGGGTACGGGCTTCATGCGTGTTTTTCTCAATGTTCCCCGACCCCCCCCCAACTGGAAATGGCAGGCAAATTGAAGCCTTCGGGTTCGGTTGGGGTGGTCTGGTGGGTGATGACTATCGGGCCGGGCGAAAGGGGGGGATAGCAAAAGGGGGAGTTTGAGAATCAGCTCACGTAGCTGATTTTCCCGGCGCCCCCCGGCGCTGGAGGCGGCCACGTATCGAGGAATGAGCCCCTCGGCGGGGCCGAAACCAGCTGCACGCAGCAGATTTCGTACCCCCCCCTCTCCCGATCCCCCCCCCCTTTCGTCCGGCCCGAGACTGGCCCCGTGACCGACCAGACCCCGCGGCGTACACAGCGAGCTCCTCCGACACGCCCGCGCGCGCGGGGGCGGGTCCGCCCCGCGCGCCTGGCCGCCGGCAGGGGTGCCGCCCGCGGGACTCTGCGCGGCCCGCCCAGGCGACGACGGGGGAGGGGGACGATGACCCCGCGAGGGGGCACGAGCTCCGAGGGGGAACGACGAGGGAGGGACGGGCTCCGAGGAGGGACGGTGACCCAGTGAGGGGGGCGATGAGGGAGGGGGAACGGCGAGGGAGGGGGACGATGACCCAGCGAGGGGGAACAACGAGGGGGGGACGGGCTCCGAGGGAGAATCGTTGACCTGGAATCGACGATGCGTCGCCGATAGATCGGCGATGGGCCCCCGATGGCCAAGGCGCACGCTCCTGGGCGGAGCGGGCCACCCGTGCCCCAGTTGGAGATGAATGAGCGCTTGGGGGTCGATGCCCCCGACCCCCTGGGCCAATCTTCCCCTCTCGATGCCCATGACCCGCCTGACCCAGACCTCGCGCAAAACATGCCACGGACAACTATTCTCCGGAAGCGCAAACCAACAACAACAGCAACAAAAACATCAACAACAACAACAACAAAAACAAAAACAACAACAACAACAACAACAACAACAACAACAATCATTTTACCCGAACGCTCAGTGTTCTCACCAGTGCCAGGGTTTTCATACGACGCCCGCCAATACCCCCACTTTGTGGGGGGGCCGGTTCAAGCTCTACCACATTTCCAAACGACTCTTCGCCACCACCCACACCCAGCTTCCCGCCCTATGACGTTCGGACACTTCACTTCGTGGCATGCGGACGACCGTGGCTACTACACTGGCGCATGGTTTCAATGACTTCTTGTGGTAACATCTTGTGGAAACTAGCTTAGTATACGACGACGACGATTTGAAGGGCCTACGGTGCGAAAAATGATTTTATGTTGCGCGGTGCTAAAATTCCTACGAAACCCAATGGTTTTTGAAGATTTCGGCGTGCGCACGGAAAGAAAAAACGAATGTGTCCCGCATGGTATTATTTGACAGGGATGATGGCCCTGGCAGGTGCGCAACCGTTGTTGGAGAAGTTCGAAGCACGTGAAGAAGTTGATCGCAAAAGCCCGTTTGACAGAAATGTTTAAAAAAGTTGGGTTTCCTGCAAATCCGCAAGAGCGCGCGGGATGAAATTGTGACACTTTTTTTTTTTTTTTTTAAAAAAAAAAAAAAACAAAAATTGGTTTTTTGATGTTTTTATGTTGAAATCGCTACGAACACTAAGGTTTTGGAAGGATTTCGTCTTGCGCGCGCGAATGTCCACTTTACCTTATTTTTTGCAAGGGATTCTTGAAGTTTGGTTATTTTAGAACAAGAAATTTCATTTTATAGTGTTTTTTGCAAGGGACAGCGGGGGGGAACAAAACAACCGGATCTTGATCACATCGAATTACCTGAGGCTTCCTCACGAAAGTGATGAAAATGTAGCTGCGGCCTAGGCGGCGCAGGGGGGCCGTGCACCAGGGGTCCCAACAATAATTATTCTTTAGAATTAATAATGTTCAACAACAATTACTAGCACGTGGGGACACTCCGTTCTCACCAGTGCCAGGGTTTTCATACGACGCCGCAATACCCCCACTTTGTGGGGGGGTTCAAGTTCAAGCTCTACCACATTTCCAAACGACTCTTCGCCACCACCCACACCCAGCTTCCCGCCCTATGACGTTCGGACACTTCACTTCGTGGCCTGCGGACGACCGTGGCTACTACACTGGCGCATGGGTACAGTGACTTGTGTGACTACGGGTAGAAATTTTGAAAATTCGTACAGATGTTTTTCGAGGACCTACGGTGCGATTCGTATGATTTTATGTTGCGCGGTGCTAAAATTCTTAAGAAACCCAATGGTTTTTGAAGATTTCGGCGTGCGCGCGCGAAGAAAAAACGAATGTGTCCCGCATGGTATTATTTGACAGGGATGATGGCCCTGGCAGGTGCGCAACCGTTGTTGCAGAAGTTCGAAAAAGTTGCTCGCAAAAGCCCGTTTGACAGAAATGTTTAAAAAGTGTTGGGTTTCCTACGAATCCGCAAGAGCGCGCGGGATGAAATTTTGACATTTTTTGTTTGAAAAACCATTGGTTTTTTGATGTTTTTATGTTAAAATCGCTACGAACACTAAGGTTTTGGAAGGATTTCGTCTTGCGCGCGCGAATGTCCACTTTACCTTATTTTTTTGCAAGGGATTCTTGAATGTTAGAACAAATGTCATTTTATAGTGTTTTTTGCAAGGGAAACAACACCGGATCCGGACCAACCCGTTTTGCCGGAGACTTCCTCACGAAAATGATGAAAACATGGCTGCGGCCTAGGCGCGGCGAGGGGGCCGTGCACCAGGGGTCCCAACAATAATTATTCTTTAGAAGTAATAATGTTCAACAACAACAACAACAGCAACAGCAACAGCAACAGCAACAGCAACAGCAACAGCAACAGCAACAGCAACAACAACAACAGCAACAACAACAGCAACAAAAGTGGCCTGGCGGCCTGGAACGAGAACAGAGGCTCGGATTGACGAGCCGATCCTGGGCACGGCGTCGACACCTCTAGGGCCGGCCTCGTGAGGAATCACGACGTCGAGGGCCTGGGGATTCCCGGTGCGCCCCTCGGGGACTCGGGTCGGTAGCGAAACCCGGCACGAGAGCTCAGTCATGCGGTCTGCTGTCTCGGCGAGCTGGGTGAGATTCACCTGCCAGGGCCCGCAGTGGTTGTGCGCCTGGCAACCTCAAAGAAATCGGGTCGACAACCTCCTTCCTGGCTTCAAGTGTACGCGCTGTGTTTGGCACGCATCGCAAAGTCTCTTGGAAGAGGGAGGGATGCGGGAGCAGGAAGAAGAGAGGGGGGGAGGAGGAAGGGGGCGCAGGGATGAGAAGCGGGGAGAGTGTATTTAGGTGTATCCACCACCGTGAACTTGAGGCACGAGTTGGAATATCTTCAGGTCCCTATTTGGATGCCCTGGAGCCTCAGCCGCCAAGCCTGAGGATTATTTGAAAGGCCCAGGCCGAAAATTGCCAAATCGGCCAGGGCGCGTTGCGTGCCCCCTGGGGTCCAGGGCGTTTTGTTTCAGCTCCCACAGATCTGCTCCAATTCCGCGAAGTAAGTATGATGGATGGCCACGACCGGGGAACGAACAGTGCGTGCGGTGCCCGCCCATGCGTGCAATCTCGGGGGAAGGCATGCGGAGCAACACATCATCAGATGGAGATACCTCCGGAATCTCTGAGAACTGGCGGCCACAGCGGGCCACAGCGGATACATCGGGCGCCTCGGCCGATGCAAAGCGTTCTAAATCGCTCAGCTGGAACGCTCCCAGCGAAGCGCGGCTTCGGGGGCGTCTTAGAGGGGGGGAGTCCACGAGGGGTGCTCGCGCAATACATGACCCGAGGCATGTGTGCGGACGAGGGGGGACAAGGGACGACGGGGGACAAGGGGACATGTTGAAAGAAGGGAGGATCATAATACTGCTAACAAGAAAGATGGTAACATTCATAATGATAGGAACAATAATAATACAAATGATAGCGATACGAATAACAGCACACTTGATATACATCAGAATATAGTAATGAGATGAAGAAGACACATAGGACAACAACATGTAATAGTAGTTGCCTAACAAGAAACAGACATACATGATAACCTAACGAACAAAAGGAAAAGAAAGAGGGGGCCATGAGATCCGTGTGGATATCATCGCCCCCGCCATAACACCCACCCACCCCAGTCGTAACCCCCCTCGCCCCCGACGGCCGCTAGGATGCGCCCCGAGGCTGGTAGAGCCTCCGGAAACCCTGCGAGAAACGTCGGCGGCCCTCGAGCCTCGGATCCTCCTCCAGGCCGCCAACCGCCCGGAGGCCAACCCGGGGACGTCCCGTCCTTGTGCACCGTGTTCGTCTCGCGGAGAGACAGCAGGCGCAGGAAGCCGCTCATCAGCGTCCTGTCGGGTCGGGCGGAGGGGGTAAGCCCGGAGTGGGTGCGGAGCGGATGGACACGATGCCCAGCAACACACATTGTCCCACTCCGACAACGGACGCTGCTGGGCAAGCAACTCTGCACGCCCGAAACGGGTACGGAATGGGCGGGCACGATGCCCAACAGCAAATGTTGTTCAGATCTGACAACGGCCGCTGTTGGGCAGGCGACTTACTGCCTCAAGCGGATAAAGCACGCGGCGACAACGACCACGACTCCTGCAAAACAATTGCAGGATATCCTGTCAGCACTCATCACCATGTCCTGCGGCAATTCAGTGGAGCATAATATCCTGTTGGTTCTTGCGAATCGACGCTAACCGACGCGAGTTGACGCTAGTCGACGCCCAATCGGCCCTGCCCTATTGATGCTCAGCTATTATATTGCACACTGAAGATAGAATTACAACGGTATGCAAAGTTCCCGTGGACTGCTGCCGAAGAGACGGGCTCCAGTACCTGTTGTTCTAAACGCCTCCGGGCGCCAGGAGCGGGCGTGCCTCAGACAGGCTCGCTTCTTCATCTCACCATGTCGGAGAAAACGTCAATGTGAATCAGGCAAATTCGCGTCGAGTCGACCCCAACGTTGGTCCCTGGTACCGTGGGGATCGCTCAACCTTGAACGATCGGCAGCTTCCGAAACGTCCGATCGTCCAGCTTCGACCAATTCTGGGTCACCGTCGGTCGGCACGAAGCGACTCTACCGTAGGGGCAGAGGTGGGATTGGATGAAAATCATTCCAAGCGGCCCCTGGGAAAGAACATGTGAGCAACCTGCTGGGCTCGTTCCCTAACCTTCGCTTGGAATAACCCCTCTCTTCCAGGAGAAAGGCAAGACTCCATAAACATTCGTAACGTGTAGGAATTCCGCGCGGATTTACTGGAGCGGCGCCGGATACCCCTCTCTGTCGCCCTGAGCGCGCCAGGGGCGGCGCCAGAAGCGCTGCAAAGGGTGTCAAGCGAAGATCAAAGTCAAGAAATCCTCGCGCACCTCCGAAAGTTTCTGCCTGTGCAATTTCTTCCTTCCTCGATGTACGACACCCAAGACCTCCTCATCTGGACGCTGCCTGACGGGTGGGCGGTTCATGGGGGGGCGAAGAAGCGTATGCCTTTCGTACCCCTTTTGGGCAGTGTGTGAAAGGTGCACCCTGTTTTTGTTCCACCATCCCATTTCGGGGATGGACAGACACCCCTTTAGTAAAACGTGGTTTAGTGAAAACGACCTCGAGCCCAAACCTGGCGGGCGCAAGCCTGGAAAATGACGGCCGCGGCGCCCCCTCGAGAACCGAAAACAGACAATTCACTAATCGACGTGTCAGGGAAGGAGGTCTGTCCAACCCCGACCATTGCGCTACGCCGGGTTCGTCCGACCGGATCCTGGTCCGGATGCCCAGCCCGTCGTGCGGCTCCGTCGAGCCGTCCTCTGCGGGGGGGGAGGGGGGGGGCGCCGCCAGGGGGCGCCTTGGGCTGAGGCGTGTGGCGGATCTGCGTGAGCCTGCGGACTCCCCTAGTGGCAGTATCAGTCAACATCGGAACGGAATCGAAATCGGACGCGCCAGAACCCGCAACAGTGCCATGCGAGCCACATCGGATGGCTCGTAATTCGAATCGGATCGAACCCAACGAACTCGAAACCGAGCCGGAAGTGGACCCTGTGAGGAGGTACTCATCTCACCTTCTCCATCCTCCACCATCCTCCGCCGTCCTCCTCCTTACTCCTCCTCCTCCTCCTCCTCCTCCCCCTCCTCCTCCTTACTCCTCGCTCCTGATCCTCCTCCGGGTCCACCGGATTTCTGCAAAGGTCCGCGCAGGTTCCCTGGAGGTCGGGAAGGGTTTCCCGAAACCCACTCATCCAGCGCCTCAAACAAATCGAGGCGGCCGCTTTCGTCGCCGCTGTTGGCGTCTAGAGCCCTCGGGACAGTCATAAGACAACCAATGATGAAAATGGGGGAGGTGAAGCCTTTCGCATCGACCGAAACGCAGCGCCGGATGTCTGGAACTGCTGGCAAGGGTGCTGCCCCCCGGTGGCAATACTGCACTTCTGGCGGCCGAGACGCAGTGCGACGGTGGCCTGCAGCTCCGGCTCTGCGCCCCTGGCGTCCAGAGAGGGTGAGAAGAAGGCAAACAACCACACGAGATGATCCAAAGCTGGCGGCTCTCGGACATCGAGGATCCAACTTCGATGATATCAATTCTTATGAGTATCGTTTAATAGATCCCCATCCCCAGCGGCGTGGCTTGGGCCCCACTGGCCGATTTATCCCCCTAGATGGGGATACAGGCCCGTCCCTGCGGGTTTCGAGGGGTGTATCCCCAACTGGGGGGATAATTTGGTGGGGGTCACGAAGGGGATGGGGATGGGGATGGGGGTCGGTTAAACGATACTGACATACGAGATGACCCAAAGCTGGCGGCTCTCGGTCATCGAGGATCCAACTTCGATGATATCGATGTTTGCTGACGCTGCTCCCGCTAAGGGCGCCTTCTGGGGCGCCCTCGCCACCACGGCGGGATCCGGGCCGGGACGCACCCCAGGAGGGGCCAGGGGCCGCGTGCTGGCTCCCGACCCCAAGCCACCGGGCCCCCTTTCGTCGTGAAGGGCTCGTGACGGCAGAGTTGTGGGCCCTGTGGGGCCTCTGGGGGTCCCTGGTTGCCGGGCCCTGGGGCTGACCGAAGGCAGCTCGTGAGGAAAAGCGAGCCCTGCGACAGGTTGGCGGCGCGCCCAAGGGGGTTTAGGGGGAGGGGGAAGCCTTCGTGGGAAGGGCCTGCTTCTTCGAAGGCGCTGGCCTCACATCTACAGACAATGCCAACGATTTTCTACGAAGCAGCCTCCTTCTGAGAAGCCTTCCCAACTCCCCCTTACCCCCCTATGCGCGTGGCTGGGATCCTCCTCCTCGCCCCTCCTCGACCCTCTCGCCGCTCAAACCCCCTTGGCCCTGAACCTGGCTCGCTCCTCGCTCGGTCGCCACAGGCCGCCTCGCTCGGCCCCAGACACGCGGCCAGTCGTCTTTCGCCCCTGATGCCTTTCTCCAGTGTTGCTCCTCCCCTCCCCCATGCCCCCCTCTGCTCGTGGCCGAGAAAATAGAGGCCTCCTAGATAGTCGGAGTGGATGGAGTCGGAGGATCGCGCCGCATCGCCAATAGATCGGCGATGCATCGGCGACGTCGACGTGAAGCGAATCGGGCTGCACAGCGGCGAGTTCCTCCGACCCCATCCACTCCGACCCCATCTAGCAGGACTACATTTGCGCGTGGCTGAGAAAGGAAGGCGTTGAACGTCGATTGGGCTTCCGCCCGCCCACTGAAGAAGAGGGAAGATGGAAAACCATTGGGATCTGGAAACCCAGAAATTCTGGCTGTGAAAAGGGGTGGCGCGAGAAGGCTCGGGGATCTACTGACCAGGGTCAACCCAGACCCGGGCCAGTCGGGCCTTGCAGGATCCTGCAAGATCCTGTAGGATCCGCAGGATCCTGCACCGAAGCCCAGGTCGGTGCGACCCTGGCTTTGCAGGACCTGCAAGATCCGGCGCTCTGACCGACCCCCGTTTGCAATGACCCCCGTCTTTCGGGGGCGTCCAAGAAGGGGGCGTCCAAGAGGGGGGGGTTGGGCGCAAATCATGGCAGGCGTGTGCGCGGACCAGGATGGGGCCGGGGACGCATTGAAATAGAATGACGCGCCATGACATCTGGGGAGACATCCTGGCCCCCGCCATGATATCCATCCCCCCCCCTGGTCATCGCCCACCTCTTGGCCGCCCCCCCGCCTCTCGAGCCCCGAGAGGCGGTACTCCACGAGTGCCTGGGCTTCTCGGCACGGACGTGCGCGCGGGGAGGCTGCTCTCTCTGAAGGCCGCCAATCTCTATCTCGCGCCGAACTCCCCGCGCCCTGCGCGCAGCGGGGGCGCGGACGGCATGTGAGGCTCTTCCCTGGGAGGGCACCGGGAATATGAACAAGGGCTCCCAACTTCGCACTTCGCGCAACGCGAAGCGCGAAGTGCGAACAACTTCGCGCTCTCGCGCCGCCTCCCAGGGGAGAAGAGGAGGACGAGGAGGAATGGGAGCCGAACCGCGAAACGCGAAGCGTAAATAATTTCGCGCCCTCGAAGGCGCCCTAGATGAATGGGGTTCCGTGCGCATATGGAGACCACGACGAGCGCATCCAAACATGGGCGAGTTGCCGAAGAGTCTGGGAAGTATGAGCGGCCGAACATAGGAGACCGGGCGGGAATGGTTCTGAGAATGAACGACTGTCATCGCAAACCCTCAGCCCTCTAGAGCGCAAATGGTTTAGAGCGCGTCCTCTTCCAACACCCATCGTCACTGCTCCCTACTAGCCAACACCCCATCACCCACCCGACCGGCAGCCAACCCAGACCCATGAGCCCCTACCCCCTGCCATCCCTTTCAAAAACCATGCAACAGACACTTTGCCTCTAAATCTGGAGCGTGCGCGGGTGCCTCGCGACCACTTTGCTCTGGTTCTTGACTGGGACGGCGGGGGTGCGGGCGTATTGTTTGTTGCGCGCAAGCCATTCGCCCCTGTAAAAACAACACAGCCTTACTTTGCAACGACATCTGGCTCATGCGCGGGTGCGCGGGCACGTGGCGCGCATGGCGCGCCTGGCACGCTTGGGCCTCTGGGGCGCCTGGTGCACCTGAGCCCGTAGCGCACATGGCACGCGTGGCCCCTCGGCGGTATGCTGAGATTCGGGTGTTGCTGATTCTGCCGGATTCCGCTGCGGTCCCACACGCGTGGGCAAAACTAGTCACTCTCACCACTCGTGTCAGCGCTCAGCGACTCCTGCACTTTTTACCTAACAGCTTTTGCTGATAGGTTTCTAGTAAGGTCAAAAGAAAGCATCATGACTCTTCAGGGGGGTCTGGGCGGGTGCCGGGGAGGAAAACCGGGAATCGCTTTTCGCCAACAGTCACACACTTCGTGCTTTTCGACCTCCCAGAACTCCATTCCCGGGCCACATTCTGGAGAACCGGGAACCGAGCCGGGCTGGCTTTTCGCCAACAGTCACACACTTCGTGCTCTTCGGCCTCCCGGAGCTCCATTCCCGGGCCACATTCTGAATGCCCGGAGCCAACTAACTGTATGCCACTTCGTGCTCTTCGATTTCCCAAAACTCGATTCTTGGGCAACATTTTGGATGCCCGGAGCCAACTGTAGGCCACTTCGTGCTCTTCGATTTCCCAGAACTCCATTCCCTGGCCACATTTTGGATGCCCGGAGCCAACTGTAGGCCACTTCGTGCTCTTCAAGTTCCCAGAACTCTATTCCCGGGCCACATTTTGAATGCCCGGAGCCAACTGTAGGCCACTTCGTGTTCTTCTAGTTCCCAGAACTCTGCTCCTGGGCCACATTTTGAATGCTGAGGCAAGCTGATGCTGCGACCGAGGGAAGCTGAGGCTGATGCAGGCTGAAGCTGGGGGCCGAGGCTTAAGGCAGACTGAGGCTGAGGCTGAAGCAAACTGAGGCTGAGGCTGAGGCAGGCTGAGGCTGAGGCTGCAGGCTGGCTGAGGCAGGCTGAGGCTGAGGCTGAGGCTGATGCAGGCTGAGGCTGAGGCAGGCTGAGGCTGAGGCCGAGGCTGAAGGCAGACTGAGGCTGAGGCTGAAGCAGGCTGAGGCTGAGGCTGAGGCAGGCTGAGGCTGAGGCAGGCTGAGGCTGAGGCTGAGGCAGGCTGAGGTTGAGGCTGTGACTGCGACTGCCGTTGCCGCTGCGACTGTCATCGCGAATGCGACTACGACTGCGAGAACAGCAGAATTCTACAACTGGATTTTCATCCGAATCTTAAGGGGAATGCTTTCAGATATGCTTCTACACGTCGCTGTTAGGTTGCTTTGCTGGGATAATTTGTTGATCCGCGGGTCGAGAGCGCACCTCTTCCGGTCGAAGCTAAGCGGGCCGCGCACAGCTTTAATTAGCAAAGGGGGGAAGCAGAAGGAGGGGCCTCACGTCAAAGCCAGGAGAGGGCAAAGCCCCGGAATCAGGCGGTGCCGAAGACGATGTGCTTGCAAAGGAACGCCTTGTACGGGAGCCCGGCGGCGACTCCTGCACGCGAGACACCCTGGGAGTGAGCCAAACGGTTCGCGCCTGATTGTGTGCGGGGTGGCCAGCCTGACCCCTCCCCATACCCCCGTGCCCTGGGTCTGCACGGGCCGCCCCGCGAGGCGACGCAGGGTCCCTCCAGGTGGCTTCCAGGACGGCGCGAGGCGACGCAGGATCGCAGGATGGCTTCCAGCGCACTCCGCGAGGTCCCAGCGGGTCGGGAGTGGCTCCGGGGGCTGTCCAGGATGCCCCCAGGAGGCCAAAATCCTTCCAAAAACCTACGGAACAGCAGTGCGTGGGCCCTTCTCGCCCGTTCGCTTCCAACAGCTTTCCGAGGGCTCCAGATGGCCCTGAGAGAGATCCAGAGGGGCCCCAGAGGGCGCCAAGACGGCCTCGAAAGCGCCCACGATCGCCCTAAGAGCGTCCCGAGAGAGCCTCAAGAGACGATGTCAGGGGCTCTCGAGGGACAACGCTGGAATGAGGACCCTGCCTCTTTGATCGATGCCTTCGAAGATGGTCACAAGAAGGCCTCCAGGCCCCAAGAAGGCCCCAAGAGGCCCCCAAGACGCCCCCAAGCCTGAAGACGCCCCCAAGGCCCTCGAGGGCCCCCAAGAGGTTCCCGAGACGCCCAAATAGGACACCAAGAGCTACCCAGGAGACATCCCAAGCGACTCTGAGAGGCATCCGAGAGGTCTCTGGTACGCACGTTCACCCTGAAAAGGGCAGCTCCCCTAGAAATCGCTGGGTGACCTGGTGGGGACACGCGAAACGTTGAGAATCTAGTGGAATGGAGTGCGCACTAGTTGTTCAAGCCAAGAGATGTAAGGAATTACCCTGGCGACGTACCCAACCCCTGCGCAAAAGCGGGGCGCAAATAGTTTAGGATACTTTATAAGGGGGCGATGACGGAGCGAGGGTTACATATGTCTGCAGACGGAATTCGGGAGACTCGCAGGACACTGGCTACAGGAAAAGGGCTTGATAAAGCTGATGATTTACAATTCCTGAGCACTCCTAGCCACTTCGAAAACGGGGATCACAGCAGGCCTCGAAAGTGGCGACAGGTTTCGCAGAGGGATGGCGAGGTCTCATTTGAATCTGCCCGTGGCCCTCACTGTGCTGGGCCCCCCAGCAGGCCTCGAAAATGGCGGCAGTTTCGCAGATCGCAGCCCCCCAGGGATGGCGAGGTCTAATTTGAATCCGCGCGTGGCCCTCACTGTGCTGGGCCCCCCAGCAGGCCTCGAAAATGGCGACAGTTTCGCAGATCGCAGCCCCCCAGGGATGGCGAGGTCTAATTTGAATCCGCGCGTGGCCCTCACTGTGCTGGGCCCCCCAGCAGGCCTCGAAAATGGCGACAGTTTCGCAGATCGCAGCCCCCCAGGGATGGCGAGGTCTAATTTGAATCCGCGCGTGGCCCTCACTGTGCTGGGCCCCCCAGCAGGCCTCGAAAATGGCGACAGTTTCGCAGATCGCAGCCCCCCAGGGATGGCGAGGTCTAATTTGAATCCGCGCGTGGCCCTCACTGTGCTGGGCCCCCCAGCAGGCCTCGAAAATGGCGACAGTTTCGCAGATCGCAGCCCCCCAGGGATGGCGAGGTCTAATTTGAATCCGCGCGTGGCCCTCACTGTGCTGGGCCCCCCAGCAGGCCTCGAAAATGGCGACAGTTTCGCAGATCGCAGCCCCCCAGGGATGGCGAGGTCTAATTTGAATCCGCGCGTGGCCCTCACTGTGCTGGGCCCCCCAGCAGGCCTCGAAAATGGCGACAGTTTCGCAGATCGCAGCCCCCCAGGGATGGCGAGGTCTAATTTGAATCCGCGCGTGGCCCTCACTGTGCTGGGCCCCCCAGCAGGCCTCGAAAATGGCGACAGTTTCGCAGATCGCAGCCCCCCAGGGATGGCGAGGTCTAATTTGAATCCGCGCGTGGCCCTCACTGTGCTGGGCCCCCCAGCAGGCCTCGAAAATGGCGACAGTTTCACAGATCGCAGCCCCCCAGGGATGGCGAGGTCTAATTTGAATCCGCCCGTGGCCCTCACTGTGCTGGGCCCCCCAGCAGGCCTCGAAAATGGCGACAGTTTCGCAGATCGCAGCCCCCCAGGGATGGCGAGGTCTAATTTGAATCCGCGCCGTGGCCCTCACTGTGCTGGGCCCCCCAGCAGGGCTCGAAAATGGCGACAGTTTCACAGATCGCAGCCCCCCAGGGATGGCGAGGTCTAATTTGGATCCGCCCGTGGCCCTCACTGTGCTGGGCCCCCCAGCAGGCCTCGAAAATTGCGACAGTTTCGCAGATCGCTCCCCGCAGGCAGGAGGCAGGCAGGAGGCAGGAGGGAGGCGGGAGGAGACGCGACCACACTGCTCTATTCAAAACGAATACCCAACCAAGGAGGGTTGGGAATAAACATAGGTGAATCACCTCTACCTGGACTCGTCCAGCATACAACATGTCAATTATGTATGAAACTGAATGTGGTTGGGGGAGCCTCTTGGACTCCGGAGTCATGCCCTGTATAACTGAAACAGCAGGGCGCCTCTTGAAATCGCCCAGGTCTCTGTCGGAGCCCCGCCGTAGAATGGCGATGGCGACGACGAAGGCGACCAGATGACGATGAATCAGAATGGTAAATGACGGCGATGACGCCTCCAAGTGGCGGTCGGCTGCGAATGCCGCTGCTCCTACGGACCTCCTCCTGGGGGGTCCCGGGGCACGTTCCGACCAGAAACCCGGGGAGAAGCCAGCCGTGGGCGAGGGGCCTCCCAGACGAGCGGCAGCGTGGGCGTCTGCCCCTCCGAGCTCTGCCCCAGAGGCTTGCCATCGCTCGGACGTCCCTCCGCTGTGCATGCTGTTGTTGGTCTCGTGCGAGGGCGCTTCTAGATTCGGGACATGACCGGCAGCATGTGCGCGGCCCAGCGGGGGAGCCAGGGACGTAATGAAATAAGAAGAGGCGCCATGAGATCTGGGGAAATATCATGGCCCCCGCCATGATATCCACCCCCTAGTCATCACCCCCCTCTTTTCCGCCCCTGATCGATGGCCCGCGCCGAGAAAAGAAGTGCACACGTCCGAGCAGAGGCAGGCACGAGGCTTCCACACTGCCCCCCCGCGGCGGCGTCGCTCGGCGGCCCGGTCCTGAACCTCGTACTGGATCTCCTCCGGAGCCGGGAGGCCGACCGCGCCGGTCGGGGGCGCCCGAGAGGGGGACGTCCAGGAGGGAAGGGGCCCCAGGACACACAAATGAATACACACAAATCAGGATATTCCCCATATTTTACCGTACTTTCTGGGTTTCTGTCTTCCCCCCCACTTCCCATATTTTCCCATGTTTTCTGGGGAATCGAGGATTAATTGTGTCGATGTGTTTCGTTTCCTCCTGACAAGAGGGGGGGTGCAAACCATGGCCCCAGGCACGTGCGCGGACCAGGAGGGGGGCAGGGCACGCTTTGAGACGAGAAGCGGCGTCACGAAATCTGCGGAGACCTCATGGTCCCCGCCATGACATCTCCCCCCCCCTAGTTCGGCTATACGCAAGAGTAACCGGTAAGAGCGACCTCTGGTGCGTGGCTTTCTTGGGGCCGCGCGGGGACCAAACACGAGGGCGCAGACGCTACTATCGCATCGCATTCGGCGATCGGGGGACCCCAAGGGGCCCGCACCAATGGTCACTCCGGCGCAGGGTCACTCCGACGTGTGACCGACTGGTTATCACCCCCTCTTGGCCGCCGACCGCGCCGGTGCGAACGAGATCGCGCGCTAACGGAGCCGCCCGCGCGATCGGGCGAGGCCTCCGCGGCGCAGATCGAGCCCGGGGTCGCCTGCGCGAGCCGAGCCGACCAGAGCTGGGGCCCCGCGCCCTCCTCCCCGGGGGAGCCCTCCTCCTCCTCCTCCTCGTCCTCCTCGTCCTCCTCCTCCTCCTCCTCCTCCTCCTCCTCCTCTTCGTCCTCGTCCGCATCGTCGTCGTCCTCCTCCTCCTCCTCCTCCTCCTCCTCCTCCTCCTCCTCCAGCCCCAGGAGCACAATTTCTTCTGGGGGAGGGGGGGGAGGAAGGAAGGGGCCCGATGAGCCTGGTGCTCGGAGGTGCCCCTGGCCCAAGGGGCCCCCAGCTCTTCGCTCAATGTTCGGGGGCCCGCTGGGGTCCTCTGGGCCTCGGGAGGGGTGCTCTGGAGGCCAGGGGTGCTCTGGAGGGGCTCTGGTGAGGGGAGGAAGACGCCCGGGGAGCACAATACGGCATAAGCACACACTTCAACCGTCTAAGAAGGACGCACGATACGGATGCGAAGGGCCTCGAAAGGCCATGTCGACACTCTGCGAGCGGGGCGCGGCCAGCGAAAGCGGTCAAGGATGGGCCGAGGATGGCAAGGATGCAAGGGTACCACTGAGAAAATTGCCATACCTTACTATGCGGGTTGACTGTACGGCATAGACTTTCAGAGATCCGCGCGGAATTCTCGGGTCGGCGTCGAACCTCCCTGACGGCACCACCAACGCCGACCCCTGGCGCGCTCCCCGCGTGAGGAAGGGGGGTCCAGCGCCGATCCCAGAAACCCGCGGGGACCTCAAACAACTAATGTTTCCATTGTTTTTTCTTCTTCGGTTCATCCGCCGAATCGGTGGACGCAGGTCCCGGCAGTGCGACGTTGGCGGGTCCTAGGCTCTGACGCCGCGTGAGCCTTTCAATCTTGACCGATCTCCTTGCTCGGAGGTCCCCCGAGGCCGTCGTCCATTCCGAATTGGCGTCGCGCTGCCCTTATCAACACCAACAGTCCAAAGCATCACGCGGCTCGAACATTTCTCGGCACGGGCCCTTGGCCCCTCCCCAAGGACCCACTCTCTATCCTGAGTCGTCTGTGTATCGCCCCCGCTCGATGAACAGCTCCCAAACGCGGACACGGCGAAAAACGTCTGGCACAAGGCTTCTGAAACGCCGTAATGGCTAGACCCGTAACCCTGGAAATAAAACAACCAGAAATCTGCAGACGAGGAAGCCCCAGAGGCCTCCAACACGAGCGAGCGAGCGAGCAGGCGGCTGCGCTCCGCCCAGTAGCCAACAGGCCAGCCGTTTGGTGCGTGCGGCTGGGTGCAGCCGGCAACTGGTAGAGCGCCAGGGGGAAGCTCGAGGGCCCCCAGACGGCGGGGCGACAGGCCGCGCGGCGACCTCGACGTCCCGGGAGACCTCGCCGAACAGTCGGCCGCCGCACGTCGTGTGGGCCCTCCGGGGGGCCCGCGCGCCCAAGGCGCCCTCGGAGACCGGCCCGGATCACAAAACGGCCCGCCGGCCAAAGGCGCAGATCACAGATCACCGTGGCATGCAAGGAGGGGGGTCCTGCGGGAAGCGGGTGCCGGGGGGGGGGGGGCAGTTTTCGTCACCAGCTGGGTCTCGATGGCTTCGTCTGGGCGCGACCAGGAGGGGTCCATCTTCTGATGCAGGTGGTCCCAGACGGGCGGGTGCCTGACATGGCTCGTCTGGGAGGTGTGTGACCTCCCCCACTATATTATGAAATGCGGACTGCTGGACGGGCCTTCCTCCAGGATCAATTGAGCGACGATCAAGAACGGGTCTTTCGCCAGATGGCGACCTTACGCGGCGGTTCATGCGGGCCGCCAACGTGGCCCGCTGCACTGGGAACGAGGGCGCTTACGCGCGACCTTACGCGTGGAACTTACGCGCGAATGTCGTTGAACACGACTCCGTTTTTCTGCGTCGCTCGATGCATCATCCCGACTCGCTTCCCGACGGCCCACGGCCCAGGGACCGCCCCGAGAGGCCCAAACAAGACAGGGGAAAGGAAAGCTCGCGGGCCCGTCTCCGCCGCTTCTTGCAAAGCGAGCTGGCCTCGGACTCCACCTGACCCGCTGGGCGCTGTGGTCATCGCGCCGCGCTACTCACGGCAAGAGGCAGGGCCGACCCGCGATCGGCCGAAAACCGAAGCAGGATCCAGCCGCGAGGGGCGGCCCCGAGGTGCCCAGGAGGCCCGAGCGGAAGTCGGAGAGCAAGAGCCGTATCAACGTCTCTGGGAGGGGCTTGGAAGTATGCACCAACTCGTCTGGCGTGCCGAGGGTTCGGTGTGTCGACGCTCCCGCTTCCCAACCCGTGGGATGCTGGAACGCCCACGCACCGAACTCGTTGGCCCGACGGCGGGCCAAACGACGTGTCGTGTTGCTGTTGAGGAAGTGGCACGGTTTCTCAAAAAAAAGCGAACGAGCAACACGTACAATCTGGGCGACGACGCGCGTGTCACATATGATGAAAATTCGAAAAGTCTACTTTTCTTCGGGGCAAGAAATAATACATTCTTGATCGGGCCAAGATTGCTGGAGGCGCGTGCGTGGACATCAGGCGAATCATCGCGGTGAGTGGAGGGCAGGAGGAACGCAACGCCGTGACGACGACGACGACAAGGCGAGGAGTGAAAGTTCGCTCAAGGGGAGAAGTAACGCCGTCGCAACGACGACGACGACGACGACGACGAGCGACGACGACCGACGACGACGGCCAACGACAAAAACCGTCGGGGGGGAGAACACTACATATTTCGCCGCCCAAAGCAAGGTCCCCCCAAAAAAGAGCGGACGGGCGCCGAGTCGCCCGGCCCGGCCCAGGAGAGGCCCAGAGTATTTCAGTTCGGGGGCAGCGCCAGGGGGATAGGCAGAGGGGGGGGATGCATCGACACCCGATCGCCCATTGATCGCCGATAGGGGCCCGACAGCTTCAACCTGCCCAGGAAGGTGCGGATTCTCTGTCGGAGGCCCATCGCCGATCTACTGGCGATGTATCGCCGATTCCGGGTCGATGTTTCCCCCCCCTGTGCCAGCCCCCCCCCGCATCGTGGCCCCTCGTCAGTATCGTTTGACCGATCCCCATCTCCATCCCCATCCCCGTCGAGACCACCACCAAATTACCCCCCCAGTGGGATGCGCCCCTCGAGACCCGAAGGGAACGGCCCAGATGCCCATCAGGGGGGCACTTCGACCAGTGGGGCCCAGGCCACGCCGCTGGGGATGGTGATCGGTTAAACGATGCCCAGTATTGGAGATTCCCAAGGTCGGGCCTGGGCGGCCGGGCTGCGCCGCGCGCAGGTCTGGCAACGTGCGCGCGCCGGGCCCGCGGAGGCTGCTGGAGCGGAGTCCCAAGAGCCGGGGACCCCCCTGGAGGCAGGAGGAGGAGGACGAGGAGGAGGAGGAGGGGGAGGAGGACGGGGGGGGAGGAGGAGGAGGGGGAGGAGGAGGGGAGGAGAGGAGGAGGAGGAGGAGGGGAGGAGGAGGAGGAGGAGGAGGAGGAGGAGGAGGAGGAGGAGGAGGAGGAGGGGGAGGGGGAGGGGGAGGGGGAGGAGGCGGGGGAGGAGAAGGAGGAGGAGAAGGAGGAGGAGGACCAGTGCAAACCCAAGGGTCATCGACGATTGCGGAGTTCACCCTCCCTCCAAACGGCCAGCTTTTTCACCGAGCTGGTGCCCCACGGCCCACGGAGCCCCCGGAGGTGCGGCCAGGAACACTGGCCAGGCGCGCAGCAGGAGGGGTCGGCCCGGGGGCCGACTCTTGCGGGGCGGGACGCGTAGGCACAGATCCACCGCCCGGGGAACCGATGTGCTGGTACCCTGGGGGGCGGTGGACACGGATACATCTGGACCCCACGGGGGGCCGAATCCATCCACGTCAAGCGCCGTGCGAGGTCTGGGACGATCGGTTTCCCAGGCGGCGGAAATGGGGTAAACCCCAGCCTCGGACTCTTGGATGGACCTCTGGACCTCGGATCAACTCCTGGCGGCTGCTGCGACGAGATCGAGGGCCCCGCCCCCCCAAAGCTAATGGAATCTCCCCCCCCCCACACCTCCAGGACAGGTGCGCACGTGCATCTCGCGACGGCCTCGCGAATGGGATCCCCCCCGACCCCCTGTGGTCATTGCCCTGTGGGGGTTGCGACGCTCTTGCCATTGCTCCGTCGTCCCTTCCCTATGCACTGTTCGGTTTCGTGCGTGCTTCTTGTTGCCAGATGATCCGGGGTGCTCCTCGAGGGTCCTCGCCGAGAAAGAATGCACACGTCCCAACGATGTCCAGCGCGGGGCAGGGCCGGGGAGGCGGGCGCGGACGCCGCCGAGAGGCCCTCTCCTTGCGGTGCCGGTAGTC